CTACAAGAAACGTCTGACCTCTGTGATTGTCAACAAGGGTTTTTCGACCAAGTACTAAGTCGAAGGGGTCAAATACTTATTTTACTCATTGACATGCAAATCAATTTAAAACTTTTTTGACATGCATTTTTCTGGATTTTTATTTGCTTTTTCTGTCTCTCATTGTTAAAATACTCCTGCCATTAAAATTAGACTGATCATTTCTTTTTCAGTGGACAAACGTTCAAAATAAGCAGAGGATCAAATACTTTTTCCCTCACTGTGTACAATAAGAGTCATTTGCTCTCATCACCTTGTAATGGGACTTTGGTATTACTTAATGTTTTTTATGTTTTTGTCACAATTGGCATTGTTCTTAATTCCCTCCTTTGAAATTCTCTCGGATACTGCACTCTCTTGATACGCGTCCTTTTATTCACACTAAAATTCACGTCTGAATGATGCATTTATCAGACCAAATCAGGAGCGCTCTGATGACGTCTCAGATCAGTCTAATCAGTTTTTACTGCCCGTGAATCATTTCAAGATACTTTAAGATGTTTCCTACCCAGTAGGAAACATGGCCTTCCTATATAAACTCACATATTCCACTCATGATTGCCCTGTTGTGGTTTTTTTTTTTTTAGCCCAATTATGCATTCTTGTGATTCTCTGTTATTCTGGTATTTGACCTTTGGCATTGTTTATCATTTATTCTGACCTCTGTGCTTCCTTGACTTGGTTAGTTTCTGAATATAACCAAAGGTAATATGGAGGATACAGCTACAGATCTACAAACAATGAAACATTCAATAGTGTGATACAATTTAAAAATAAACAGCCTCCCCTTGGAATACTGGAGGTCATGGATCAGCCCCCCTCGAGAGCCAGTGGTCCTGGATCAGCCCCTTCTTTGAGAGCCAGCCTTATCACCAGTATGTTGATGGATGTATATTGGATAGGATGTATGTATGATCCCTTCTACATAAGTGCATACATGTATTGTTCCTATCTCAATGATCCTTGCTTTAGAAAACCTGACTAATGGCCCTACCTTCCTTTTTCTGGATATACCTCAAGTGAGTGTTAATAAAAAATAAATAAGAACAGCCATGGTTATCCTTTGACTCTTTACTCCATCATCTTGGAGGTTGGATGGAAGCTAATAATTAATATAGCCATCCAAAGAGCCTCCTTTACCAAAGGGAAGAGTCTGCCCAAAAGTCCCCTCCTTTCTATTATCAGTGCATGGTGGATGAAGGTGAAAAATCATGTATGGGATCCAATGGACAATTACCAACTAGTACTACAGTACAATTAGAAATACTGTTAAAGAGAAACATAGACCAGATCTCTTAGAATATAAAGATAAGACAACCACTGAGTGTGTCCCATCATTGCCAATCATTTTTGATTTTAACAACAAAAGTCATGTTGTAAAAAAAATCATAAATAAATACTGGCATATATTAAAACAGGATGATATTCTGGCTGGGATTATTCCTGATAAACCTCATGTTATATTTAGAGGAGCACCCAGCTTCAAATCTATCCTCACAAATAACTTTACTAAAGCAAAAAGCATTGCCTCCCATTTGAATTCCCCCTCCCCGTTTACTAAACCTAAAGGTTTTTTTAAATGTAATAAGTGCATAGCCTGTAAACGAACTGATGCGACCATTAGATCAAAGACCATTTCCTTTACGTCATCCGCCACACAGAAGATTTATCAAATAAATAATTTTATCCATTGTAATACAAAAAATGTGATTTACTTACTGGAGTGCCCATGTGGGCTCCAGTATGTTGGTATGACAACCACAAATCTTAAAATTAGGTTAGCGGAACATTGTCGTAACATCTCTAAAGGTTATGAAAATCATTCGGTATCCAAGCACTTTTTAATGCATAATAAAAATCCCAAATTACTTAAATGTATAGGTATCGATGTGTGTGAAATCCCATGGAGAGGAGGCAATATAAAAAAGATCTTAGGTAGTAAAGAAATGGAATGGGCTTATAACTTGAAGACCCTCACCCCATTAGGCCTCAATATAGAATTTGACCTTTTTAATTTCTTGTAATCTTTTTTAAACAAACAAACAAAAAAAAAAAAACCAATAAAACAAACAAAAAAAATTGTTTTTTTTTAGCTTTTATGCAACCCTTCTACTATAATTTTAAAATTACTTGATTATATAATTCACTGTATTTGTTATTATTTTTCTTAACTTATTTTAAGTATGTCTTTTTATACTTACCTTTTAATGTATTATATTATTGCATTTATAATTTATATTTTTATGTATACATATATTGTATTTTATTAATGTTACAGTTGTATCTATGTTTATATTCTGTTCTAATTGTATTCACCTATGTTAATCTATTGGAATATGTTAGTGACCTCTGATGGGTTTCAAACTCGTAGAATATGTTCTTAGTCTGATGCTCTACTGGTGCAGCCACCTGCACTATATAAATGTGTGCTATCCTATTTCTGAGTATTGAACCTGCTTGTCTGATCATAAAACTCAACCCAGAGGCTCCTATTTAACCTAATATCACATGACATGTTCTTATTTACTTCCGCGTCACGTGATGTTATAATTTATATAATTTCTTACATTGTAAAACCTCGTTTTTTAATATTTTGTGTACAAATAATGCTTCCGACTTCTATATTATATTTTAAACACTCTTATATTGACTTTTTATATTTTCCACATTTTTATTGAATTGTGTCCACTCCCATGACGCTGGTGACGTCATTTTGGCGGTAATTTCAATTTATCTGTGCAATTTTATGTTTTCTTATATAAGTGCTATATGTTAGGTCTGTTTTTTCTCTTTTTATAAGTTTCTACTTGATGAAGCCTATTGTGGCGAAACGCGTATAGGAACTTTTTATATAATCTAAGTGCTAATAAAGGAATATTTGGCTATTATACATTTGGTTGCCACATTCCTCTTTCCACCTTAGTATTATATTACCTTCTTTTAGTATAATTTTATTATTTTACTATTTGCAAGTTTATTTTATTCAGACCTGACCACTACTACCGTTTTGTCCATATTGGAGTACCAAGAATCCTAAGGTGGGGATTATACCACCCATACGCCATCCACCGAGCAGTACGTCTGCTCTATATACCGTGAGTATATTTTATTCTGTTTTTACATTTTATCAACTATACAGTGAGCACTATATTTTATTTTTTTACCTCAAGCTGGACTACTCCACCAAAGTACTCTGCTAAAGAACAAAAGAGGAGCACCGTATATCCTTGAGTGGGGATTATTCCACTACGTGCCATTTACACCAGAGCTGGATTTAAGCTCTGAATATTGTGAGTAGTTCTACTATTCTATATACAATATTATTTACCGTTCATACTATACCATTGGAGTTTCCCTTATCTTCTGTTTTCTTCACATATCCATTTTGAAGCTGCGGATATACATCTGGGACTTCACATACCATTTTATGTAGCACTAGGACTACCTCCTGCATATGTGGATTATTTATATCCGGACTTTCTAGGTATCGCTGCTTGGACTCTCTGATACATATTTTTATACATTCATTCTACTTGTCTTAGGCGCACCCTTATTTGTGCTTTTCTCTCCATTGTATTCCAAGGGGCTTAGAGGGGATTCCCCTTTTCCATAGGTGTGCTGCCTTGCTGTAATATTCTCTGTTTTCCTATCAGCGCTGAACCTCCTTCCTGATCTCGAGTACTACAGTACTAACTAAATAATTTCCTCAGTATTATATGAATATATATGTAACGCCACAACAGCAGATTCTGTGTTGATTTAAACAAAAAGGATACCGCACTCTCACAGTAAAAACCAGGTGCATCAAATACTGGGTTGGCAAAACCCAATTTAGTACCTAATAGTAGAAAGTAGGTCCAGGCACTCAAGGTTTCTTCAGAGGCAGATTTATTTAGAACTGAATTTGCAACGTTTCGACCTTCACAGCGGCCTTTGTCAAACTTCAACTTTTGCCATGGCAACACTAAGTGGGAGCCTTTCTCATATTAGGGTACCCCTAACCAAGGAGGAGGTGGGGGGGGGGGGTTAGTTGATGGCTTTAGCCTATAAAGGATCAGAACACAGGTAAACACAAAGCTCAATGGCTATGTCAGGAGTAGAAACAGAACCAAAAACAAAAGCTCCTCTAGCCCATGGCACAAAAGGCACTATGTTAGCAGGGTCCCAGGCATCAGATGTTGCTGGGGTGATGTAGTGGAGGTTGTTGCAGAGAGTTCAAGTGCTGTTAGGAGAGCGGGGCTTCGGTAACAGAGCTAAGTCGATGCAGAGTTCTGTTGTGTGTTACCAGTAGAGATCTAGGTATCCCCTATCAGTACGTGATGCCTGCGGAGTGCAGATGGTGTGTGATGTGACGGAAGGACCTGCGCCACGGCTGGGAGTCTTCAAACATATATGGTGTTTTGCCCCTCAGGGCTGCCATTAGGTGTCCCTTGTCCTGATAAGTTGTGCAGCATTGGATGACATCTTGTGGGGCAGTCAATGGAGGTTTGGCTGCACCAGCTAATCTGTAGGCCCCATCAATAATGAATTTCTTACCCACCTAAGGGTGTAATTCCTCAGCCTTGATTGTATCCGACACGCCACGGATCTTAACGTGGTTGTGCCTTTGGCGGCCTTAGAGCGCTGATAATTGTGAAGCAAATACCTGCTGGTTGGACTGGAGCATATGGAGGGAGTCCTTTATGTCGGATACCTCTGTACAAATGTCCGTTACATCCTGCTCTGTGAAATGTATAACCTCTGTTTTAATCACTTCCATGTCTGTAGCTACCAGCTTCTGTATGTCAAGCAGGAGAGTTTGAATGTCCTGTTTGGTAGATAGATTCCCAGTGAGGGCTTCCAGGTGGGTAGCAACTGCTTGGCCCAGTTCTTGGGAAGTAAGTGTCCCACTGCATTCTGGCACGTTCAAAGGGGCCGGCATGTCTGCAGATTCCTCCGCTACCATTTTGAATTGCGCCTACTTTTGAAGCATGGAGCTGATGTCCCGAGATTCTGGCACCCCTCCCAGCATCAGCTTTTGGGTTGTGTGTCCCATGGCTGAAGTAGAGGCTGGGTATGTCTGCAGGGGTTGTGCTGCTGTGTCTGTTGTGTAGCTCAGGAGTGCTCCGCCGAGGAGTGAGTCCAAGCTAGGAAAGGCCAGTGCTTTGTAGGCCCAAAGCCTGCACTTCAATCTTGCAGCTATCGGAGGCTGGACTGTGCCAGGTATGATGTCTGCTCGGGACGGATGGCCCCTGTATCGGGAAATTTGCAATAGATTGTCCTGAAACTGTCGTGAGCTGAGAGAGATGGCGTCCTCTCCGGGTCGCTGGCAAACTCTGCTCCCATCAACCTATATTTTTAAACTCCACACCTGCTGTATTAATCCCAAACCATGCTGTGTTAACTAAGCTTGCACCCAACTATACTAAATCCTGCACCCATGACAATATCACACTGTGCTGTAGAATCTACGCCAAATAATAGTTGGTCTGTACCAAATTTTGCAATTGGAGATGTTTTTTCTTTCTCAGTATTACATGAGATGCAAGGCTGGCAATGAAATAGAGCCGGAATTAGATTGGGGATTTTCAGGAACCATTCCGAGCTCTAGGCCCTGTTATCTCCCTCCTCACCCACCACACACACACACACACAGTCTTTGCTGTTTTTTAAACCTCTGATCAACCAAAGCAAGTTTATTCCACCATATTCATGACTATTTTTTTTCAAGCTTTATTCAGTTTCCCAAACTTGTTGCACAGCTCATACAAAGTTTCTTAATGTAAAACACATGGATCTGTTAAAAATAACAGTTAAATTCTCCTCTCAGGTGCATGAATGAGTGTGTGCATGATTTGTTTATCTTTTTCTTTATTTTGTCTTTTATTTTGTTTTATTGGAAACCAGTTTTTACATGCAGATCTAGTATTATTAGGTATTAAGAATGTAATCAAGCATGGCAACTCCAAACCACAAGTACATCTGCTTTTTGTTCAGATTTTCAATATACATGTCTTTTTTCAATTTGATGTTCAACAAGGAGTCACAGGCATAGCTTGTACATAGTGTTACTTTTAGCTTCTCATGGCTTGTACCAACAAGATCAATGACTGATCTACGAGCAGAGTGCTTTGGGACATGTGCCATATGTTTAGTTACTGTTTGGTATTTCTACATCTATCAGTATGGTGAATGCCTTGTGATAATTGCAACTCCACATGGCAGTAATGGAATTCTATAATGTATTGTCATATCACCATATGTTACCTTAAACATTATATTTCTCCTACATACTGACTCATAATATTTGTGTCTTGCGTTTGTGAAATAAAGTTAATATATATTAAATATAAATTCTTCCCCCCATTTTAGTTGGTTGATAAATACTTTGACCACTTTTAAGCTGAAGTTATCAAGTATCGCAGGTGATTTATGTTTGATGAAAAAAAAAAAAAAATATATATATATATATATATATATATATAAAAATAAATATATAGTTGGCATGAATCACTTTTTACAGCTCTTGCATAGTGAATCCACTTTCAGACAGCCCTTCTGATCTGAATGCTACTATTACTGAGTCAATCTACATTCTCGAATTGCTCATTTTTGTCATCCCAAGTCAGACAAAACAAAACATGCCATTGTACAGTACAAGAAAAAGGGCCAAGGGAGAACATGGACAGGGTACGCTAACAGAGGGCTAAGAAATGATAAGCTGGATAGACCAGATTAAACTGAATAAAATATTTTGAAAGAATTAGGGATATTCTCTATCTAACCTAGAGTACTCAGCTGGTGATCATTTTGAAGCGGTGGTGGCAGGTATAGGTACTTACCGTATATACTCGAGTATAAGCCGAGTTTTTCAGCACATTTTTTGTGCTGAAAAACCCCAACTCGGCTTATACTCGAGTCAGTCTGTATTATGGCAATTTACATTAATTTACATTGCCATAATACAGACTGGGGGCTAGCAGAGCTGTTACTTACCTCTCCTGCAGCTCCTGTCAGCTCTCTCCTCCTCCGCGCCGGTTCGTGCAGCACCTCAGTCAGCTCCCAGTGTAAGTCTCGCGAGAGCCGCGGGGTCATAGTGCGGCTCTCGCGAGACTTACACTGGGAGCTGAGAGAGGAGCTGCACGGACCGGCGCGGAGGAGGAGAGAGCTGACAGGAGCTGCAGGAGAGGTAAGTAACAGCTCTGCCAGCCCCCTCCTCCCCCCACTGAACTGCCAATGCCACTGGACCACCAGGGAAGGAGAGCCCCCCTCCCTGCCATGTATCAAGCAGGGAGGGGGGACGACAAAATAAATAAATTTATAATATATAAATAATAATAAAAATAATATAACAAAAAAATGAACTATAAACTAAATAAAATAATACATAAATAATAATAAAAAAAGTAAAAATAATAATAAAAAAATTATTAAAAAAATAATAATATAACAAAAAAAAATGTAAATAATAATAATTTTTTTTTTTATAAAAATGCCCACCCCCCACCAAGGCTCTGCAACACAAACACACACTGCATCACACACACTGCACTCATACACACACACTGCACCACACACACTGCATTCATACACACACACTGCACTCATACACACATACACTGCATTCATACACACATACACTGCACTCATACACACACACTGCACTCATACACACACACTGCACACTCATATACACACTGCATTTATACAGACACTGCGCACTCATACACACACACTGCATTCATCATATACACACACTGTAAATAAATATTCAATTAATATAATTTTTTTAGGATCTAATTTTATTTAGAAATTTCCCACCCTAGTCTTATACTCGAGTCAATAAGTTTTCCCAGTTTTTGGGGGTAAAATTAGGGGCCTCGGCTTATATTCGGGTCGGCTTATACTCGAGTATATACGGTATGCTATTACTGTCAGGATAACAGTATGATCCAGCACGTAGAATTGTGTAACACAGAGGTCTGATAGGTAACGTTTACCGGATCTTAGAATGGCCGGACTAACGTACCAAAGAATTGTCAGGAATAGCCGAGGTCAAGGGATACAGAAAGAGACACAACGATAAGGAAAAGCCAGGGGTCAGGAATGCCAGAAAACAGGGAAGTCAAAAACAATGCTAAAATCAAATAACCAGAATTACCAGAATCAATAATGCGCTCTCAGACAACCACTAGGGAAACCACGACAGGGTACTGAGCAGGATGAGAACTGGGCCTAAATACCCCTCCTCTGGATCTGGTAGGCTGTAATTGGCCTTTGACCCCAAAGGCAGTTACCAGGTGTCTATTTGCATAACTGCTGCTCAGCACAAACCCTGCTGTTGATTTGATTGCTGCTCGGCACAACTTTTCCTGTCAGGACAGTAGTGTTGTTCAGCACAACTTTTCCTGTCTGAACAGTAAATTCCATTAATCAAATTTTTATAAGCGGATGAATACGTGACATTACCCGCCACCTGAAGAACACCCACCGGACGGGCAGTACCAGGCTTGAGACGAAATTTGGCATGAAAATGTTAGAAATATTAGAAATTTTCAAGGAAGCCGGAAGGGCCAAAGAGTATGCAGCAGGATTGATCCTACGAAGGACATGAAAAGGTCCAAGGAACCTAGGAGCAAATTTCATGCTAAGGACTTTGAGCCTGATGTTACGAGAAGATAACCAAACCCTCTCACCCACTTGGTAAACAGGGTTGGCACCTCGACGTGTATCAGCATAATGCTTGAAACGGTCAGCAGCAGTACCCAGAGCAGATTAAACTTTAACCCAGGTATCACGGATGGAAGCCAGACGGTCATCCAAAGCAAGAATAGCTGTATGAGAAAAAACAGCCGGTAGGACAGTAGGATGCTGGCCATTATTAACAAAAAATGGACTATGCCCAGAGAAGTAATGGTCAGCATTGTTCCTAGCAAACTCGGCCCATGGTAGTAATTCGGACCAATTGTCTTGAGTGCTATTAACAAAACAACGCAAATATAATTCCAAGGACTGGTTAGCCCTCTTAGCTGTACCATTGGTCTGGGGGTGGTAAGAGGATGAAAAAGACAATTCAATCCCTAATTGTTTATTGAAGGCCCTCCAAAACAGAGACACAAACTGAGAACCTCTGTCAGATACTATATTGTGAGGAATGCCATGCAGACGGACAATTTCTCGTATAAAGATTAGTACCAGGTCTTGAGATGACGTCAATTTCTTGAGAGGAATAAAATGAGCCATTTTAGAAAAACGGTCCACAACCATGAGAATAGTGGTATAACCATTAGAACTAGGAAGTTCAACAATGAAGTCCATGGACAAGTGGGACCATGGGACCTCAGGAATAGGAGGAGGTTGTAACAAGCCACAAGGGTGTTGGGTTTTGGAAACCGCACAAACAGAACAAGCCTGCACATATTCCTTAACATCCTTCCTGAGGGAATCCCACCAGAATGATCTCATGATCAGAAGTGGATTTATTAATACCTGGGTGACCAGCAGACACATTGTCGGGAAACACCTTCATGATATTAACCCTTTCCCCCATGATGGAGCCAAGCAGTGGAGAGGACAATGAAAGGACAGTGGACACAATGATACATTCCGGGGGAATGATATGGGACTAGTATACCTCAGTATCAAACTGCCTGGACATTTTTAGAACCAGGTCTGTAAGTAATAAGAAAATTAAAGCGAGAAAGAAATAGAGAACACCTAGCTTGTCTAGAAGAGTTTAGCATCTCCTATGTAAGCCAGGTTTTTGTGATCAGTAATGATCAAAAGGGGGTCCTTGGAACCCTCTAAAAGATGTCACCACTCCTTGAGAGCTAGAATAATGCCCGACAATTCTCTATTGCTAATATCGTAATTGCGCTCAGCAGGAGACAACTTTCTATAAAAATAACCACCAGGATGTAACAGAGTTTCCTGGCTCTCCCTCTGGGAGAGAACTGCCCCTACCCCTGTCTCTGAAGCATCAACCTCCAGTATGAAAGGTCTACTGGTGTCAGGATGTATCAATATGTCGGTGGAGGCAAACCGGTGTTTGAGAGTTTCAAAGGCTTCAATAGCCTCCTTAGACCATATCGTACTACTAGCCCCCTTGCGTGTCATATTGGTGATGGGGGCTATTACTGCAGAAAATCCCTTTATAAATATTCTGTAATAATTGGCAAAATAAATGAACCTTTGAATTGCTTTCAACCCAGTGGGTGAAGGCCACTGTAGAACAGACTCTAGTTTTTTTAGG